CATCATCACCCTCATCATTACCACCATCCTCCTCCTCACCGCTGCCCCCCCCCCCCCCCACACACACCACCATCATCACTATTTGAAAGATCGTGAGTTAAAATAATGGTTTATTTAGGTACGAACCTAACTTACCGCTTTAGCTCGAAAGTTTAAATTGCTCGTTTTTCTTTTTCTTTTTCTGTTTGTTACTGAGGTCGATATCGTTGTTTTTTTCTATTTTCTAAACTTTCTGTATAGTTATGTGTCTCCTTCCCTCTCTTCTTTTTCTTCTTCTTGTCCTTGCTCTGTTCTTCTTCCTCATTATCTTGCTTCTCCTCCTCCTCCTCCCCATCTTTTTCTGCCTTTTTTTTTCATCGCAATTCGTTTTACGAAAAGTAATAAAACAAACAAAAACAACAAAAAACAAACAAAAAACCCTAATCCGTGCTTCTTAATTACTTCTTATCTGCAATAGATCAGTTGATAACAATGTCAGGGACGAGATAATATTCAGTGATTAACGAGAACTTGCACAAATCCGTTAAGGGACTTTTGAAGGTGTTATATTGATTTTCTCTCACTCTCTCTCTCTCTCTCTCTCTCTCTCTCTCTCTCTCTCTCTCTCTCTCTCTCTCTCTCTCTCTCTTTTTTTTTTTTTTTTTTTTTTTTTTTTTTTTTTGAGATTAAAGATTATAGAAAAAAGTTTCCAAGGTTCAGGGATCAGGTGATTAGCTTTTGGTGCTGAACCGGATCCGCGTGCGGGTTTAGGATCCAGTGCGAGGGGTCATTGCCAATGCGTTGTGTAGTATGGGTCACCAAAGAAAAGTCTTTTACTTAAAAAAATATATATATATTTCGGTTATTCTGAATTATGACTAGAATATTTGGCATTATTTGATTATAGTTAAAGCCGCACTGTCTATTGTAGATTTGTAGTGTTTCGTCTGAACATCAGAACAAAATTCTAGTATTTTTTGGCAAGCCTATAAACTTTATAAACAGGAAATGATCGGGGGATCTGCATACACCTATGATTAATCAACATAGGCCTAAAAACATCAGATATTAGACACATTTAGTTGAATGGTTAATATATCTAGAGAGAATTAAAGAAGAGAAGTGACAAGAATCCTCTCGCTTTGCCCCACTAGATGAAATGAATCAGTTATCGCAAAACTTTATATTACTCTTATACAGTTTATTGACCCAATGTACGGGTGGCAAGACTACAGTGCCATGCCCACTGTAATAAGAAATCTATCTATTGTCTTTACATAAAAATGGCTCTATAAGTGCTTAGTCACCAAGGAGTCAGCTATTAGTTTTATTTATCGCATCTGTGTACCCTTTTCCTTCATTTTTTGAAAACTTCACTTGTATTATTTTATTGTCCTTGATGTTATTGATATTTTAATAACAATTTAATAATCAGATCAACAAGAATGATAACAATGTCAATATCTATAGTATTGGAAAGAAAAACGCATTTTCCCGCCAATTCAAGGAATGGGGAAATCAGGATCGGTCACTAGGGCCATCTGTATGTAACAAAACTCACTAAACTTTAAAGGGGACAGTAAATAAGCCCGCTGATATTGGGTTAAACATATTATAAATAACATCATAAAGTTCTTTGGAGATAATCTTCTAATATAAGAATATATCAGCGTCATATTTCCTTAACCTTTTCGCTACCACAAGGTTACACGGACACCCTTGACCGCCATATTTAAATGCCACTGTTTTCTGTGATTCTTGTACGCCAATAAAGGGAAATTATTACCTCCTATAATGAAAAAAAATATATATATATGTATATATTGTGAGGCAGAAATAATACCAGGTTATCGTTTTTTATTTGTGTATTTCATATTATTGCCCCTTTCAATGTTCTTTCTGTAAACTAATTGTTTAAAATGATAAACAATTAAAATGTTAATCCAGTAGCGAAAAACGAACACATAAATAATCAAACCGTAAAATAATCTACGTGGCCTTCTCGTCTTGAGAAACTTCATTTGTGATTTTATTTGTTAGGTATTTAAACAAAAATCTACTACTACTACTACAAATAATAATAATAGTTGTAATAATAATAACAATAATAGTAGTACCTATGATAATAATAATGTAAGAATAATAATTATAATATCAAAGATGATAATGATACTAATACTAATAATGAGGATATTACTGTGGAGGTGCCTGGTGCTCGTGCGAAGGGGTCTGCAGGTAGCGGAGAGTGGCAGAACCGACAGGGAGTCTGGGGGGACTTTTGGAGAATAAGTGGGAAAGTGTATGTAGACAGTATTAGGGCTTAACATGGGTGTGGCCTTTAGGATGGTCTGGTCCGAACAACGGCGATGTCACAGCCACGCCTCCGTGATTGGTCAGCCTACAGCAGTTCAAGGGCATGGCCTTAAAGGGGCCTTCACGCGTCTGATGCGATCTGAGACGTGTTAACTCCACCTCAAGGTCATGCATGGCCTCCAAATGTGGGCTGACCAACCATGATGGCCATGGCATCACCGCCGTTCGGACCAGCCATCCAAGAAACCATGCCCATAACACCATATCCTGACCAATACAAATACTTTTCCATGAGTTACTCCAGTTTGGACGGAGCTTCCTGCATCTTCTAAGCTCCCCCTACTGACATGCCCTTCTTCGAGTGGCCTACTCTGCCCTATAAGGAAAGATTGCAGTATCTGCAACATTTTCGAAACTGAGATTTGCTATCTGTTGGATTCGTTAAATACTTATACACATAATGACATTGTATCAGAACCAATACTTCAAGGCTTTCTGTGAATATATAGGGTATGCCATATGTAGTAAATGTAAAATCAGTGTCAAAGCAAGGTAACACTAGAATCTACCTCTTACTGCCGTTTTGAGTTGTAATCCAAATGAAGGACTCACTTTCTGCAGTCTTGGGCTGTATCACAATGCCAATTACAGTTATTGCTGTCTTACGGCGCGTCCACATAGTTGCTCAAGCATCATCCTGTAGTTAACACTTCTGGTAACATGTTAACAAGTAGGTTAGCAGCAGTATTTAGACAGATGTATGCAAACATTCAAACCTTGCATTCGCCATTACCGAAGGGAACATGCTCCTAAAAGCCGATATCTACCGGGCAACATTTCGATTCGTTCAATACACAAGGATTATTTATCATAAAACCCGGGAAAAATTGTGACATACAGCAGTTTTGCTAAACTCGGAGAGATGCACCAGCATCTGAAGGACGTACATTCTGACAAAGGCCCTCAAGATGCCTGTGACCAATGCCAAAGTCGGCTGCAGCACATGAAGATACACAGCCTGGCAACAAAACATCTCTCTTTACTAAACGGATCGTTCTTACCATGAGATATTTACACTTCTTGGTTTGAAAAAGGGTAAAGATCTATTGTATGGTATGAGGGCCATGAAGTTCTTCATCATTTGGCTGGACAACAGCACTATTCAGGACTAGAACTGGCTTTGTTATCTTCTATGGTGCAGTTGATTGAAGTGATATCATAAAACATTAAATGCTTCGAAACGTTTATGTTGACAGATTATATTCACCATAAAGTGGAATTTGAGATGAAAAGACTGCCTGGAGGAAATATGTATGTTTTTCATGATTTCTGTGACATTATACACAAATGATATGGAGGAAAGGAGGTTGTGGTTCAAATGACCAACGATGGGCACCTCAAGCTTCTACAGCTGATGTGATGATTAGCCACTAATCATCACATCAGCTGTAGAAGCTTGATGTGAACACCATGTTGCGGAACAGGATTGTCGCCCAATTCCGAAGGGGATCCCACATGCTCCATGTGAAAAGCATGAAGATGGTTAAATGTTAATGGTTAAAAGCAAAATAAATGTGCTAGACATCTAAGGTTATGTAGCACTACAGGAAGGTACAGCAAAGGATAGTAAAGGGTGGTTGAGTTAGTGGTTAGTTTCTATACGTCAACTGTCTAGATTAATAATTAAAAGTTTAAAGATGGGTAAAGTTGATGAGTGAATGGGTTAAGATAGGGATGGGTATGGGGATTATATCAAGTGAAGGATATGTATGCATCTGAGGGAGGAGAACAGGTTGTCAAAGCAGAAAGTGAGATTCTGTAGGGATGTCTGATAGGTTGGGAGGTCGGTGAAGGGAAGATAGGTGAGGGAAAGCAGAGGTACGGGTTGTATTCAAGTGTGGACAGGACAAGAGAATGTGTGGAACTGAAAGAGGGACATTACATAGGGAACATAGGGGTGGATCAGAGTGTGACATCAATAGGAGTGTGTTAGACAGGTGTGGGCCAATACGTAAGCGGGCGAGAGACATCTCCCAACGTCTGTTCCGATGAAATGGAGCTAACCAGGAGATTGAGAGTTTTACAGTATGTAATTTATAAGTACGAGACTTGACCAGAAAGATTACCATCAGTTATACAAGGTCTTAAAGTGGGAGTAATAATTTGTGGCTGGAATACGTGAGACGTGGATGGTGTGATGTGGATATAGCGACAGAGCTAGAGTATCTGCCTTTTCATTGCCGCGGATTTCAACATGGCTGGGCACCCAGTAAAATCTGATAGTTTTATGGCGTGTGGAAAGGTAGAACATCCAGTTCTGGATCTTACTTAAAAGTGGGTTGGTAGGGTGTATTGACTTTTAACCCAATGGTGCCGGGTCGGAAAACAGCTCTGAACCCGTCATTCTGGGGAACAAAAACAAGCGGCGGATGCTCCCGCCGGGACGTGCGCTCAACTCGTGCTACCCCTCTCACCACCCCACCCAAGTTTCAACGCTCTCGGGTGGCTGGTTTGCGTATAACCGCAACCTCCGTTTTCTTCACTCAAGAAACATGTGAAAGTTTGGTGACTTACTGTAGCCATATAATATACCATATGAAGGATTTTATTGTTTCATACTGTAGTATACACTTCATTTTAGGAGTGTTCCACCAATGTGAGTGTGTAAAGTCAAGAGTTGGTTTGGGCGAGAGCACAGAAAAGCGGGGTAAAGTCGAATTTTTATTTTTCTTCAAAATTGATGAAGTATACATATTTACATATGTAAAAGGGTTTCATATACATATAGGCATGGAACATGCCTACAAACTCGAGAAATGTAAATAAATTTTACATACATACATATGTAACAACTTGGTATATGTACAATACACTACGTACAATGTTCTCAGGCATGGTGTGCCTGAAAACATGGCGTTGGGCATAGGGAAATGCCGCAGCTGGAGCACATGACCCTGGTCTCCTTCCTGCGCCGGTCGTTCCTCCAGCAGAACGCACATCTCCGCCACCTCCGGAAGGGGGTGTCGACTGGCATGTGCGCCTGCTGGGGATCCTCCTCAGGTTGGTCCTGAGGAGGGTTCCGCCGGAAGGAGCCAGGCCGGCCACCTGTAAATGCAAGAAAAAAGGACATTGTAAATTACATACTCAAAAATGGACATGTAGAATGAAAATCACTGTAAAATTTCAAATCAGAATACAAGAAACAAAGTCTGAGGCTTACCTTGCTGCAGCAATTCCCGGCTAAGTTCCGTACGGAACCTGGATTGAGAAAACCTTCCGCCGAGGGCCCAGTGGACAGCCAGCGCGTTGACTGTCGTCATATCCAGTAGGTAAAAGAATACTTTCTTATACCACTTGACGGTTTTCTTCGTGGCTGGATATGACTGCGCCAGCTGATCCGAGAGGTCGACGCCCTTCATGCCGTTGTTGTAGCAGGCAACAACTTCGGGCTTCGACCTCTCCACCCCTCGGCGGTTGGGAGGCAGGATAATGACCTTTGAGGTGTGTGCAGTGGATAGCATTGTCTACCCACTGCAGGCAGAGCATTCCGGTGTTGTTACTCCGGAAGTCGATTTATCCCCGACTCGCCTGCTGGTCCGAGGGCATACCACGCCTGTTGGTACGAACTGTACCAACTGCGCTGGTCTTCCGGGCCTGCAGGTAGTGGAAGAGAGTCGGGGAGGAATATCAGTTGTCTGTGTACAACTGATACCCCTTGTCGTACAGCTCTGTCTTCTCCATCAGGTCGTCGACGGCCTTCATACTCGCCCGAAACTCTCCGCGGTCTTGCCCCATGTAAATATTGAAGGCCGTCGTATACCCTGCCTCTGGACCGTTGGACGAGCAGAGCTTATAGACCTTCAGGCCCCTCCGAGCCCTCTTACTAGGGTTATATTGGAGGGCCTGATGCCTGCCCTTGACGGTCACGTTCTTGTTGGGGACGAGAACGGAACGGTACGTCGAATCCAAGACGTCAATCACAGGGCGCAGCTTCCACAATCTGTCCTCCGCGTCGTGCTCCCCTTCGTTGTTAGCGAAGCGGAGCGCGGCGGTCAGATTGACGAAACGGTCCCTGGACATGGTCTTGGTGAACACCGACGAGCACAGCATCGGGTCCGTCGACCAAAGTTCCCTTTGGGACCTCTTTGAATGAAGTCCCATGAGGAATCTAAGGCCGACATACGAGCGGACCTCCCGCACAGATGTGTCCTCCCACCCCTTCATGTGGGATGAAGGGGTGTGCGGGTTCTGTCGAGCGTACCTGTAATTGGAAGAAAAAAGACATTGTAAAACAGGTGTTTCAAAAAGGACATGTAGAAATGTTCAAGGCAGAGCACAAAAAACAGTAGGGTAATTTGTAAGTTGCTTACCGATTCGTTTCATCCACAATGGTTTGAAACAACTCCTCCGGGGACAGGCTGGTGAATTTCTCCAAGGGGCTGGACGATGCGTCAAGGTGTGGGCGCACACCCAGTGTCCCCTCGAAGCCCTGACGCCGGACGAAGTTCTCCTTTATGTACCACACAAAATTAGGAGTACCGGGAGCATTGCGCTCCCACCAGCGTAGGACGTACTCTTCGAGGGGCTCGTCCGAGTCTAAAGAGGTATCCACCAGCAGGACATAGTCGTAATCGATGTCTGAACCATCGTCTACGGCCGATTCTTCGGAGTCGGACTCGAATTCCTCCCAATCCGAGTCGTCACCGTTGAAACGTCCGGAGATTTCAACTTCTGTAAAAATACGAAAGAAAACATGAGTTCTCTGAAAAAAAGTTATGCTATGCAGAAACAAAGTATATGTCCAAAGATCCAGGTATTTTTACAAGTCAAAAAGAAGATAGAAAACTTACCAGACATATCACTAGTCCTTGAGAGTTTCAGAGGAGGTGTATTGTCCTCATCTGATACTTCATCATCGACTTCGTCGGCGGATGGGTACATATAGAGGAGAGGGTCTGGGGCATTCCGCAAGCGAGGATATCCCCTGGAAGTGGACGGTTGGGGATCGTCCACTGTCTCCTCGTCAAAAGACAAGGCACAGACTCCAGGGGAGTTCCTCGGCTTGCGGCAGCGGGGAGTGGAGAGAATGCGAGACATCTTAGCAAAAGATTCTAGCAGGCGAGTGATGACCTTGCCCTCTGCATGGGTTTTTATACGATTTTCCAGAGGATTTAAAAAAAAAAAAAGTGAAAGAGGAAGAAGGGAGTT